CGTGCTCGTAGTGAATAACCAATTGCAGTAGCTTGGTCTCTTACGGAACCACTGCTGCCCCCACACCAAGATAAATGGAAGTTGAGAGCAACTGCCCTGGGCTCTCGATGACCACCCCCCTGCCACGCTACCCAACCCTCGTGCAGCAACATAGGACGCCGTTCTACCTTATGGACTTGCCTTGGGTGTTGTCATCGCCCCGCTCGGCAACGAAGGTAACCAAGGGCTACAAACTTGTCTGGACAAAACACAACCGAATAAATAAACACACGTTATAGGGGTATTCCTCCATCAGTACGTTCTACCCTCCAACTAACCCCGCGATGGTGGCATACACCTGCCGTGTCCTGTGTGAATGTGTCTACGCGTGTCTACTAATAGTCTACATGCAGAAACTTCCGCCTCTCCATGTACAACCTGTAGATACCTGACACAATGATAAAAAGCTCGACCGCTCGCTGATGCTCTACCATGTGTATCCCGTTCTTGAAACACCAGGCACCAGCTCCACACTCTCTTCTAGCCGCACAGACACGCTGTTCCGAGTTTGCTTCGTCCTCCCTCGGCCAACGGAAAACCAGCGGACGGGACTGTCAGGCTGCAGGTGGGTTGCGGAAGGTTTTGGCGGCGTTATTCGGTTCGGCATGCGGCGTAAATAATCCGTAGATTCAGGTAGTCCGTAGATTCAGGGTTCAGGGTGTTCAGCGCTCATGTTCAGCAGATCAGCAAAGTTCAGTGGCAATGGCATGTTGGCATGTTGTCATGACTTTCGGAACGTTGCGTGTGGTGTCGGACCAATTGCGCCCTGCTGTGCACACTCCCCGGCAAGTAACACCCGCTTGACATACATGAGAGACGTCATTGGACACCAATGCCAAGAAGAAGGATTTCAAGGAACAAGCGCGCGTCAAAGGCCCCGCCCGCACTTCTGTCTTTCGCCCGAGCGCGGCATGGAGGACATTCCGCCGTCGTGATTCCCCCCACCCAATCGTCACGTCGCCTGCGCTCACCCGCCCACCCCCTCTTTCCCCCTGTCCTTCCCCGCTGAACCATAAACACCCCACGGTTGAGGTTTCTTCGCTCAAGTCTTTCATCACGAAAAGCTCGCCAACATCTTCAACAACCTGGGTGTTCGAAGCCCGTGATCTTCCAACACGCTGTACCTGAAGCAAGATACCAAGGTGGGTGTCGATGGGAGCTACCGGAAATAGGCCAACAAGCATGCGCTTGACTGAGTTCCTCAACCTCGCCCATCCGTTTCTCTCCCCCAGAGAGAAAAACTATCCGCGCAAAAGCTTGTCCAATGGGTCTGCACTGTAGTTACAGCAGTAGTCTAGGCCCCTTACGCCAACCCCTCTCCTCCGGAAATGAGGTGGTATCTATCTATCTATCCGTCGACCCTCGATGATGGAACATTGGACGAGTGTGGCGACTTCCCCCCGACAGTTGGTTGACGATGAGGAGGCCCGAGAACAGCCATTCTACCGATGGCAAACTCGATATATATGTACGTTAACTTTTTGCATTCGCTCGCGGCAAAACGGAGAATGAATGTCCAAGCAGCGAGCCCTGCTACCTCTTCGTTTCGCCCGATATGGTCACACCGTCCCTGATAGACCATGTAGTGCTGGCGCCAGCGGGAGCGCAGGGCCAATGCGAACGGATCTGAGACATCCAAATCCAAGGGTGAATGACATTCTGGTGGCCAGAGGGGCAGGTTGGGCACCAAAACTGCAACCAGGGGGGGGGGGATAGGAGGCCGGGTTGGACCCATTTTTTCTTTAGGCTTGCAGCCCACCTTGTTGGTTGGAATAACGCCATTTTCTGAGATGCAGGATAACTTGCACACTTTGGGCTGCAACCTCCCCCCCCCCCCCCCCAGGCCAGGCTCAGGGGCCCATAGGTAGGGCTAGCCGGGGACGTAATATATAAAAAATCGCGCGAAGCGCGAAAAAATGTTAAGAGGCGTTTGCACAGAGTTTGGCTGTTTTTTTGTTTTTTACGGACACACCTCTGATCCACTGCTGTTTGTAGGCCGTTCTCCTCGAACTGTGAGCCGATTTAGAAACGGTTTCTCGCACTGCATTCTCAGGCACGTCTAGCATACCGTCCAACTCAATATCGTTGTTGAAAGACGGCAGATGGCGCCGGAAACAAAAAACACACCACACACACACACACACATCGCCTGGGCAGCCGTGGTGCTGTATCTGCTGCCTCAATCGTGGGCCGTTTGTAATTTCCTTTACCATCCAAAATTCTGGGCGACTGCCGTACAAGTAGTGCACTTTTAACTGACCGAACGGCCTTTCGAACCGGTAGGCAAATATTTACATTTTTTGTAATGTGTCCAGCTCTTCTCGACCCGGCAGTACAGGCTAACCATCACCATCCTCCACGTGTGCGTATGAGCCCTTGCATATTTCTCTCCCTCCTCCCCGGCCTGCCCCCCCTGTCCCTGGGGTAGGCCGAGGTTCCGCAAGTGGATCTAGACCTCGAAAGACCACCCAGCAAAGACGGATATACGGTCCCTAGCACTGTTGAGAGGGGGATCCTGAGTTTGGCGGTTGGGAGTTACTGCTGTCGTGAGATCGGGGTATCTCGTGAACCGCCAGCTTTGGTAGCTGCAAAATGAGGCTGGATCCTAACGCCCCGGCTTGGACACCGGGGGTTATGCAGCAGCAGAGAGCACGGTGAGGGTGGCGGAGTGACCGCACGCCGTGGGGGTATGCCCCAGAGAGAGGAAAGGAGAGAGTCCAGAGATGAAGGGCCACACCGCTCCGGGACAAGAAGACAACTCTATGGGAAACAAGGCAAGAACCGGGAGAACTATCATCTTAGCCCGAGTGTTCGCAAAAAAAATTGAATGTGAAGACAACAACAACAACAACAACAATACATCGCACGGGCAGGGCAAAAACGTCCTCTTTCTTTGCTTCGGGTTCCAGACTTTGTCCGACTCTGGGCGCCGCAAGCTCTGGTCCACTGAACATTTTTTCGCCGGTTCAACATCGGGCTGGGGCGCTGAACCTTTCGCCTTATGTCCACGGCGATTCCCAGGGTGTTCAGCAGGGTATGCACCCTTGTGGTGTCCGCATTCGGTGCAGGCTCTGAACTGCGGCAACGCCGCCCGCGCCGCCCCCGCCGCCCCCGCCGCCCCCGCCGCCCCTGCCGCCCCTGCCGCCCCTGCCGCCCCACGCCCTGCCCGCTGCCTGCCCCCCCCTCCCTTGCCGCCGCCCTCATCGCCGCCATCGCGGCGTCCGCGACCGCGGCGGAAGCAGTCAGTACGCCGCCGACGCCACGGTTGGGGGCAGGCATTTGCGGCGAGCGGACGGATCCGACGGCATCATCGGGTTGCCTCAGAAGCCGTGAGCCGTCCAATCGGTCCGTGAACGGGCCCGAGGGTGTTGAAGAAGTAAAACCAGAGCTCCCTCTCTGCAGGTGGAAGAGGAACGACGCCCCCCTCAAAGCCGCAATCTGGAAGGTCGCTACAGGTTCCCGCCCACGAGGTGAAAACTGCCACTCTGCGTCCGCTCTGCACACCATCTTTCCCTCCACTCGATTTGGGTGATGCTCTGACGGAGGGAGCCGCAGGCAGCGGCTACCGCCTCCGGGTCGTACACGATGGCAGGGGTGAACTCCAGATGCAGCTGTGGCAGAAGCTCCAACTGAACTCCTGCGTCCACCTCGTCTTCCAGATAAAGACTGATCCACGTTGCCTCCTCAAACTCGCGAAATACCCGTTGCAGCAGTTGACGGTCATCACAGCAGTCATCTGACAAAGTTATGCTTCACGCGTCACGCCACGGGGCCGGAAAGGATTGAGGAGACAATACTGCAAAATCACTGCGAAAATAACAGGCCTGACACCGGTCTACAACCTCGAAAAGCTAAGCAAGTCTACAATCATTTCGCAAAGTCTGTGTTCCACAGAGTAGGAACCTTGAAGCCATTGCGAACGAATCGCATGAAAAAAAGCTTCAACTCCTCCACCAGCCCGCTCAAGGCACCCGTCTTCATCGGACGCTGCCAGACCACCTTCAAATAAGAACACACGTGTGTCACAACGAAATGTTTTTCGGGTCATCAGAATGAGCGCAACATACTACGAGAATAATTTTTGGGTGATTGCTCCAGAAAACATGGCACCAACACAAAGGGTTTGGGGATGATTGAACGAAACAGAGACGGGAGAAAAATTCACCTGCTCATATTCATTGAAGACTATGAACAAGCCGTACACTGGTCTTGAGCGCTCCTCGCCCGCTCTTGCCCCGAGCCGGATGATCTTCGCAAACTTAAACGAAGCATCCCCATCCAGAACCTCTCGTGCATCAAGCGGTGCTGATACTCCTCCAGGGTCCAACTCACGCCATCCACCTCCAGCACGGGGAGTTTCGAGAAATACAACCGCCACACGTCCCGCAAATAGTGCTCCGACGGGACCGCACCGCCGTACTTTGTCGAGTCATCAAAGCCGAACCTCTCCGGAGTTTTGGCGAGGTTGGCCGAGCGGAAGATGCCCGAGCTGGTCCGCCGTGAGTTGACCAGAGAGGTGCACTTCAGCTGGTCCACCATGAACTTGGTCGTATGCGCCTGCAACAGCATCACGAGGGCGACACGTTTTCGTTGTAGCACGGGTCGGCGCTTTTGAGATCCGACATTTCCCGCAGCAACGTTTGCGGTACCATCCGAAAACGTTTTGAGCAGGCTAGGAAAGCCAAGACTAGACCAACCCGTTATATTAAGACGCTGCAGATGAGAAAATGCACATTCACCTGACAAATGTTCTTGGCAGCAGCGGAGAAGTCCTTCCCATGCACTAAATCATCTGCAAGCCGGTCCACCATGCGAATCTCAATGCCCGATCGCTTGGTGAGAAGGAAAGGGAACTCCTTGGAGATGTACTCCGGGAGACGCCGGAGGCACCCAGCATCCCACGCGTTGAAGCTCGTCTTGCGCTTTCCCGCCTCCTGCTTGCCTTTGTTGAACTCCGCGCACTTCGCACACTTGTACCTGCACATGCATGGGAGAAAACATGCACCACGAGCAATGTCGTCGGAAAACCACAACACCAACTCCAATCCAGAAGAAACCTAGAATTCGATGCCACGAAAACATGACTGATGAAGTTTATCGAGCGAAAACTCTTCATCGCATGCTGAACTTACCGAAACCCCATGATGTACGCCACGTCGTGCTCCATGAACACCCGGCGTGGCCCCTTAGGGTTCCAGCCATCAGGTGCGCCCTTGCCCCCACATCCTGGACAAGGAACTGCCTGGAGCTCTGGGAACAAGAACTCCGGTATCCATACCAATACTGCCTTCTGATAAAACCGGTCGAGTTTCGGTAGGCCTGGGCGCGTAAATTTGAGGTAGATATGTCAGAACATCAGGCACGCGAGAAAAAAAAATTAGCCTACCGGGGGACGGGATGTTTTTTTCCTGGACGATTTAATCCGAAAAGAACGATAGATAGGCAGAGCTATCCCCCCCCCCCCCTCCAAAAAAAAACAACTCCTCTGGTGTACCTGGTGATGGGTGAAAAGTGGCACACTTCGGACGGACGAGCGGGTTGTCAAACGGGAACCGGCCTTTCACACCACCTCCCTCGTGGGTGATACTCCGGTCGATCTTGTCCTTCACTTCTTGAAAGAAGCGTTCCTGCGCACTGGATGTTGAAGTATCATCATCGTCGGCCCCTCCGCCGGCGGCTCCTTCAGCCCCACCTCCTCCTGCTCCACGACCTGGCGCTGCTGCCCGTCGCCCCCCTCCCCCCACCTCCCCCACGGCCGCTCATCCCCCCTCCTCTACCTCCTCCACGGCTGCTCAGCCCCCCTCCTCATCCTTGTTGGCGCGCTACGTGGTCTTGACGTCCGCTTGCTGCTGGTCTCGCCGCTGCCGCCCCCGCGGCGGCGGCTACTTCGGCTGCTACTGCTGCGAGTTGTGCCGATGTTGCTGCCCCTGTTGCGGCCTCTGGTGCCGCTGACATTGGCAGTGCTGTTGATGCTTGTAATAACCCCTCACCTATTTGAGAGGATAGCACTGCTCGAGCTGCCCCCCCGCGTACTTGGGAGGCTTCATGAGCACGGGCTTTACCCTTGCCTTGGAGGGTGCGGGACGGGCACTGCCGCCACTCTGCTGCTGCTGCTGCTGCTGCTGCTGCTGCTGCTGATGTTACGAGCTCTGTTGGTGCTGTGGCGAATCCTTCCCCTACGGTTGGGAATGGTGGTGCCCGAGCTTCCTCTCCATCTACCCGAGAGTGGTCACCCTCATCATCCAAGCCAGGAGGCGACTGCTGCTGTTGTGTACCGGCGGGAGGTGGAGTGGACTCGCCGATGTTTGGTGCCGCCATGCTTGATGAAGCACCAGAATCCCCAATAACGTCGACATCGCCGGCGGATGACGCGCTTCTAGCACCCGCACTGCTTCCCTCCCCACTCTGGTCTTCACTCACCCGTGGCCGCTTTGATGATGGCTGGGCTTGCGGGTTCCGGGAAAGCATCCTTGCCAACCCGTCCGCCTGATTCCTCTGCTGCGCAGCTATCTTTTCCCTCTCCGCATTCGTTTTCCGACCCGCTTTTTGTGCGCCATCCTTGGGCTTTGGCCCTTGATTTCGCCCCATGGGGAGCGCTGGCTCCGCGGTTGCTGGGTGGGAGGGCTGTTGTGCTTTCCGTTGTGGTCTGTGTTGGGTCTCATCATGTGTCTCGGCAGCAGCGGCCCAATTCGGGTGCTTTGGCCCAATCAGCCGCCGTCGTTTTTCATGTCTCGGGGTCGTTTTTCATGTTGGGATGTGTTGATTGACCAATGAGATTGCGTCGTTTTTCATTTTTCTGGCCCTACCTATGGGCCCTGTCCCCCAGGCCATGGTCTAACGACTACGGCATGCACGACTATGAGTACACCCCCCCCCCCCAGGCCACCCCTTAGCAAAATCCTCCCCACCTGTCTATCTACCTTCCCTCGCGCTCTGGCCACCCCCTAGCGAAATCCCCCCCACCTGTCTGTCTATCTTCCCTCGCGCTCTGCTCATCAAAAACTCAAGGTCCCTTTCGTCAGGGGAGGACGAAGCAAGTTCCGAACATGAAGATGGCATCAACCACGGCAGTTGCTCTGGTCCTGGCCGCTGCGAGGATTCACTTTCTCCCCGGTGCCTTCGCTTTTGTGACACCCGCCGTCGGCGGCACCGACCGGGCGACCTGGGCCGTTGCTTCGACACGAGCGCAACAACAACAAGACCCGCTTCCACCGTGGGACGAGACCTCCAACCCGATCGCGACCGTGCGCGAGATGCTGGCGGCGCCAGATGCCCCGGAGGACACACCGAACCGCTTTGATGGGATTGGGGGGTCGAGCGGTGGGATCTGGCGCTCAAGGGTATATGGGCTACTTCCAGCGACGGTAAGGGATTTACTGGTTAGGCACGCTGTAAAGGTCAAGCTTTGTAGATTCTTCGCAAGGACGTCGTTGGACTATTTTTGTTTTCCGATTCGCGCAGATATTTGTTTTTTGTGCCAGCTCAACCGTTATGTTTCATTCGTATGTACCACATAGCCGGCTCATCAAGAACAAGACGGTCCCTCGAGACTCTTCCCACAAAGCGGTACTGTAGATAGCAGTCGGAGAGATTTCATGCACTACGCCCATTCGTTGCGTGGGGGTATCCTCCACGGTAGGTGTCAAGAATCCGAGTTGGGCCTTTAACGGTTGCCATTCGTCCCACTTCAACTGCCGCCGCCAATCGCATGCTGTCGACTCAATACACGCTGTGACTTCCTGCCCACATTTTGCAATTTTCGGTTCCATTCTGTAGGTGATTGATGCTCGGGAAGGCACGAAATGGATGACGAAGGAAGAAGCCGCCGGAAATTTGTACCAGGACTGGCTGGAAAGCACGATCCAGGTTGTGGGTGAGTTCTCCCTTCCGTAGGTCCTGGGGGGGGGGGGGGGGGGGGGACCCCCGGGCCCCGGACCCTTCCCAGGGGGTTTTTCCACCAAAAAAAATGGGGGGGGAAAACAGGCAACCGGGGAAATGGGGTTAGGGAAAATCGGGGAAAAGCCCTTTCCCCGGTTTTTTTTCCCCCAAAAAGTTTTAATTCCCGAAAAGGGGCCCGAGTTTTCCCCCCCGCCGGGGGGAAAACCGGGCCCCCCTTTTTTTGGGGGGGCCCCCAAAACCCCCCGGGGGGCTTTTTTTTTTGGGTTACCCCCCCCGGGAAAAGGGGGGGAAACCCCCCCAAACCTTTTTAAGGGGGCCTTTT